AGGGCGCCCCCCCCCCCCACTCACGGGCGGAGGCTTTGCCGTGGGGGGCGGCGCAGTAGCCGCAGCGGTAGCCGGGCTTGCGGCCGCGGTACTCCACCACGCTGCGGCCGCCGGACATGCCGCCTCTCTCGTCCCTCCCTCCTCCCGCCGGTAGCACGTGTGCTCCTGCTGCCGGGGCTCCTCTTTGCAAATATGTAGGAAGATTTGGGGCATGCTCCTCGTGATCCGTGCACAACTTCCCCCTTTTTAGCAGGGCTCTGCAACAACTTCCCAGCTGGAAAAGGGGGCAAAAACCTCCCTGGTTTAAAGAAGGAACTAGATAGTTGTGGGCCAGACTGCCTGCAGTATCCAAGCATGTTTCATCTTTAGCCCATCTCTTTCCCCAGCCCCATTCCTCCTTTTTTTCCCCCAGTATTTTAATCATTCATTTTTTGAAGTGGCTAAGTTACCGCCCCCTTCACTTGTTTCCTAATGACTGACATCTGGTTACAATTTTGCACTGACCTATTTGATCATAACAGCAATACCTGAGCAAGTATCCCCCGCCTTTTGTTGGAAAAGTGATCGTCCTAACCAGGACATCCCTGCAAAAAACAAGTTTGCGTGAGCTAACCTTGACATTTTCTTTGGGATGATCCACGAAATAGGCTGTGAACAGGTGCTGTGTAACAGCGAGCAGCTCTAATGGTTCATTTCAACGCTGAAACCCCCTCATTATCGGGAAAACCTTTCCGTTTGCTTACATGCCCTTCAAAGCTATCTAACACCTCCAGGGAAGGAATCCTACCTGATCTACACATCAAAGAGCTGCTCAGCACCGCTCACAAAGACAGCCTCCTGGACCCAGAGGGACAGCCCTCCATCTTCAGCTCCCTCTGTGCAAAAATGAAATTTATTTCCTACCTCTGGGGACTTTTTACCACCTTGTACCATCTACGCTTTTCCCAGAGCCTGATGAAGGGACTTTGATCCCAAAAGCTTGCAGAAAAGGACAATTTTTCCTGCCATTTTCTAGTTGGTCTAATAAAAGGTATCATTTTGGAACCAAGAGTTCTAGTTTTTGTATGTCTTTTTGTTTCAGACCAACACGGCTACCACATACACCCCTGAATCTTTGGAACCAAGAGTGTCAAAGCCATGTGTCAGGTATCCAGGTCGTAGCTGTATTGTTCTAGAGGGAAAAAAAGCAATCAGGGCTCATGGACAGAGGTGGTATCTTTTATTAGATCAACAAGAATTTTGCAAAAAAAAAAAAAAATCTTTAATTGCAAGCTTTCGGGCACAAACACCCTTCATCAGGCATCAGAGAAAAGATTGTAAAAGTTCTCCTGGGGAGAAATGAAAGTTCATATTTCATAGGATTTCACAGAAGGGTCAATAGATACAGAAACCCTCTGGGCAGCATTTCTTAGCTGGGAAGGAGTCTCCGCTCTCCTGTGAGGCTGTGATGATGCAAATTACCTTAAACAAAGGCAGGAGGAGGATCTCAGGATTTTTAAAATTTTTCATATTTTCCCAAGCAGGAAACAACTTTGACCACCTGAAACCTGAGATCCTGCTCCTGCCTTTAAGGTAATTTGCAACATCAGTGATCACAGCCTCACAAGAGAGCTGAGACTCCTTACTAGCTAAGAGCTGCTACCCAGAGGGTTTCTCCATCTATTGACCCCTCTGTGAAATCCTATGAAATATGAACTTTCATTTCTACACAGGAGAATTTTTACCATCTTTTCTCTGATGCCTGATGAAGGGTGTTTGTGCCTGAAAGCTTGCAATTTAAGCCACTTTTTCTCAAAATCTTGTTGGTGTAGTAAAATATGTCACACCTGCCCCCAAGCCCCAACTGCTTCAAATCTATGGGACTTCACCACTACTAAAATGCTTTGCTGAATATGGATAGTTGAGTGAGCGATAATGGAGGGAGGTACTTCTAATCTAGAGCATTAATGGTAGGTATTACTGCATGCAGGATAAGCAGTCCAACTCTTTCCTTGCCTGGTTCTGCCTGCCTTTTGTTCCAGTAAATTGCCCTAACATTCGCAAGTTAAAGACAGTGCCACCTCCAAAAGCAGAGGTAGTTATGTAAGCCAAGTACATTAAGACTGGGAAGGAGAGTGCTATTTAAAAAAAAAAGAGAGAGAGAGAAAGAACAGCATGAGAACTATAGAAGAGCTAGCACAAAGTAATTGGCAGGGAAGGAGAGGGAACAAGAAATAGAAATTATTCTTCTACTCTATTTAGCACTGGTGAGATGTCACCAAAATGTCCATGTCCAGTTTTGGGTCCCACACTTCAAGAATGACCTGGACAAACTGGAAAGAATCCAGGAGACAGCAGCATGTAAAAAGATTACAATTCTAGAAAACAGGTCATAACAAGGAAAAATTGGGGAAACTGGGACCGTTTAATCTGGATAAAAGGGGAGACGTGGTAACAGTCTTCAAATACAAAAATGGTTGTGATGAAGACACTGATACACTCTTCTCTGCATCCAGAGAAAACACGACAAGAAGGAACTGTTTTAAATAGCAAGAAGAGAAATTTAGGTTAGCTATTAGGAAGAACTAATTACAAGTTAAGCACAGGAACAGATTACCAGAGAGACTGTAGCCTAGGGGTTGGCAACGTTTTTGGCTAGAGTGCCGAAAAGGCGCCCTCAATGTCTGCCTTATAAGGTACCGAAGTGCCAGCATGCCATAAAAACAAAACCGGGGTCGGGGGTACATGGCAGGACATACTGCATATTAATAAGTCAATAATCATAAATGGTGCTCCTTTTATGGTAAATACTGCTGACAGTAAATAAAACTTCATAGTCTACTTTTGTTCTTATGTATTCTTTTTTATAAAGCATGTTGTGATGAAGAGAGAAAAGAGAAAAAGAGAGGGGGAAAGAAAGAAGAGAAAAAAAGGAGAGGAGAGAAAAAAAGACAAGAAAGGAAAAGGTAAAGAAAGAAATGAGAGAAAAAGGAAAGAAGAGGGAGAAAAAAAGAGGTAAAGAAAGAAAAGAGAAAAAGAGGAGAGAAAAAGAGAAACAAGAGAAGAAGAAGAAGGAGAGAAAAGAAAAAGAGGGAAAGAAAAGGAAGAAACAGAAGAGAATCTTGTTTGGTGTCCCTCGCCACCAATGTCTCCCCACTGCAGCTCAGGCCCACTGGGCAGCGACACCCCAGCAGCAGCCACCAGGGCAGCGGGGCTCAGGCCTCCCCCATGGTCCTGGAGTGGGGGAAGCCCAGGCCCAGGGCTGGGAGGGAGGGCCCGGCCGGGGCTTGGGCACACAGACGCCCCATCCCACCCAGGCAGAGGCAGGGATGGGTGCTCGGCACAGGGTCCAGGCGGCACACAGAGAAGCAGATGCCGGGGGAGACACTGTTGGCAGGCTAACCTGCCTGGCGCCTTGGAAAGGTGGGGGCTGGGTGGGAAGCAGGGGCTGCTCCGGGACTCCATGGGCACAGGCCAATACTGGTGGGTGAGCATGGGTACGCAGTGGCACCCAAGGTGGGACCTAGCCTGGCCTGACAGCTCCACAGGGATGGGCACAGCTGTCCTGCCCATAAGGGGATGCCACCTGGCCAAGGCAGGACACCGGGCTCAGGGGACTCCTGGTTCTTGACTTGGGCTCTCTGTGCACTGGGCACAGCATGAGTGGGGAAGAGCCGCCCCTGGTAAGAGGGCTTGGCCTCAGGAGCCCCCTGGGCCCTGGGAACACCTCTTGTGGGCAGCGCTCGGGGCCAAGATGGCTGGGAACCTGCAGTACAGTGGTCCTGCGCAGCACTGGCCCCGACCCCTGGAGGGGAGCTTGCGGGGGGCAAGGTCAAGGCCAGGGCAGCCACAGCGGCTGTTCCTGGGGTCCAGAGGTCTCCCACGGCTGGGCCCCCATACCATAGGCGGCTCCACCCTGCTCACACTGTGCCTGGCATGCAGGGAGGTCAAGCCTGGAGCCAGGAGCACCCTGAGCCCAGCATCCTACCCCAGCCAGGCAGTGCAACAGCCCTGTGCAGCACCTGCCTGGGTCCTGGCCCAGCTCACCCACAGCTCCCTCCCAGGGCTAGCCTGGGCCTCAGGGCGCAGCCCAGGGACAGGGGGCAGGGTCAGAAGAACACAGACAGCATCTCTGCCTCTGTTCTCCCAGCTTCGCCCCCGGCACCAGCCGTGGCACCGCAACCTGCGGCTGTTCCGGAGAGCCTAGAGCAGCAACTTAAACATTTTTTGTTGTTGTTTTAAACAACTTCCTCGCACACCTCCTGGCATACTGGGGGAAATGTCTACGCGTACCACTAATTGGCACGCATGCCAGGGGTTGCATATCCTTGCTGTAGATTCTCCATCACTAGAAGTTAAGAGCAGGTTAGACAAGTAACTTGACAGGAACAGCTTAATCTGGAAAGATCCTATTTTGAGCTGGGTGACCTCCTAAGATTCCCTCCAGCCCTTTTCTTCTATGATTCCCTCATAAATTTGTACTTTCCCATGGTGTATGACCTCTCCAGTCTTCTCCGATTCAGATGCTCTGGAATCACAAATATATCTAAAGTCCCTCTCCCCATCCTTAAGGAGTTCCACTCCCCTTATTCCTCACTTTCACCATGATTACTACTAGATCAAGTAGAGAACATTAATAAGAATCACTGATAACTACAAACAGGACCTCATTTGTAATCATTATACACCTTGTGTATTCTGGACCATTACAGTATCCAATATATTTACTTTGTAATGAAAAGTTGAAAAAGAATTAGTAGACAATACAAAAGGACTTTATTACAGAATATCACAATAGGATGAAAGCACACTATGTTTTATGACTGCTCCTATCACGGTAAGTGACACACACAAATAAAAAAAAAAGATATATTTTTTATATAAAAATTGTCATTTAAATTGTTTTCATCAAAATTAATTTAATCATACAATATATACACATAAAAAACGTATTTGAAGTAAATACTTTAAAATTCATTTTTCTTTAAGGCACCTGGAAGAGAAACAGAAGAGTAAGACAGTTCAATATTTTCTATATCTCATTACAGCATTGGATAAATGTATTCAAAATCAGAGTTTAAAAGAATTCTATGAATAGCCAGACAAGGTTCTTTGGGTGAATCTGATATCTTTTATTAGACCAAGTTAAGTAGTTGGAAACATTTTTCTTAGCATGCTTTTGGGTTTAAAAAACCTTCATCAGCATCTTCAGGTTTAAAAACTCTTCATCCTGCATTCCATCCAGGAAGAGAACACACAAACTGCAGATGCTTCCTCAGCCCCACTAAGGGTTTTTAAACCCAAAAGCTTGCTAAGAAAATGTTTTCCAACTATTTAAGTTGGTCTAATAAAAGATATCAGATTGTCTGCCTATGTCCTTAGACTAACATGGCTACACCAACAACCTACACCCCTATGAATAGCCACACTGTTACAGCTTCTTTATTTTGAGGCTCTTAGAAGTATATCAATTTATTGACCTGAATATCCCAGCACATACTTTAAGCTGTTACTGCTTTTTAAAAACCATAAATATACAAAGCTGCCAACCCATGATCCTTCACAGCGCTACGTTTTGTAATGCTTTGAAAGCCAAGTAACAAAAGTGAATCTACTTAGTTCACCAGCAAATGTGAAAAGACTTTAACTCTTAAATTAGTTGAAAATTAGATGCAGAAAACTCTGATCCATAAGAACAAGATCACCAAAGCATAGAGATAAATTCACAAGTTTTTGTACAGAACCCACCATTGCAGGTACTGCGGAGCATCTAGATTGGCTCACTTTAGTACCACTTCCTGGATGTACTTGAAGCAAAAAAAACAACAACAAAAAAGAAAACAAAAAAATCCAATTGCCCTAAACAAACATCAATTGTGCTAAGCGCTATATAAGCCATAGCTAGTTCCTCCGCAAATCCTCCAAATAAACAAACATGCACTGAGAAGGTTGTGGCCTCTCCTAAATTAAGTGAAAGCTTACCATAAGAATTAGGCAGGATCCATTTCACTGTCTTGGTTGTGACTGGAAGGATCAATCATAGATTCTGTAATTTCAAATGTTTCAACAATATCCTGAGAAGAGAGAAAAAGATTAAAAACATCATTTTTAACATTACTGTCAAATAGCTATTTTAATATAACAGTAATATTTTCAGCAGAAATAGAAGGGTTCCCATTCTGCAGTATTAAGTCTACTATGTGCACACTATGTAAGCAGCAAAGGATACAGAAAGGTCCAGGAGGTATTCCTTCCTCTCTCCCCCACCCCCTAAAACAAAGGGAAAAAAACCCTTTTTGTTTGAGGTGTACTTAAAAGTAAAAGATAGTAAGATCCTTTAGTTTAACAGAACACTGTTACCCTCATTATAATTCAGGCCACTGTGTTCTGTCCCCTCCATCCTCTGCAAAGCAAATGTATAACAGATACCAGTTAAAGGAATGACTGAAGGCAGTGGTTTTCAGTCTTTCTACATTTGCATACCCATAAAAGATTTCAAATGGAGGTGCAGACCCCTTTGAATTGTAAGTGTGGATAGTCACATACTTTTGATCAATCACAGTCATCTTTTGATGACCTCTTAGACAGTCTGCAGATTCCCAGGGGTCCATGGACCAGAGATTGAGTGGTCCATGGACCACTGAGCTAGGGAATATACAGCATAGCTGCCTGGGTACCAGCTCCAGCAGACAGTTCATCTCATCACTTTATGTAGTAAATATTGTTGCTTCATGCTGTTCAAGACCCTGTTAGCTTTAAGGATTTTTATAGAATCAAATCAAAGGGACTATGCATTCTAGTATCAGAAACATTCTCTTCCCCCATAATTGAATGCCAGGAAGCTAGGTAACAGTCTGGTCTAAGTGCCTATATCTACTTGGCCTTCATTTAGTTCAGTAATTGCAAATAATTTACAGCTAAACCTGAAAATTACTGGCACCCTGTCATATAAATGTGACAGGATGCCAGTAGACTGGAATGAAGTCCCCATCCCATCTCTCACTGGGATCTTTCTTGCCTCTAGAAAGAGAGACATGCTGATTGTAACTACTCATGTTACACGGCCCATAAACAATCTGAATTGCTATCTTAATATAGAACTTGTTACAAGGTGTACTACTCTGTGGTTTCACATAACAGAAGTGTATGGCTCTTCTGAGGCTCATTATAAATAAAAGAAAGAAGCCAAAAGCATTTTAGCTAGTTTACCTTCCACTCCTGGTGGCTGAGAGATATGATTGCCTGGTTCCGTACTTGAGCATTCTGGTCATTTTCTCTTCCTTCGTTGTCATTGGAGGGCTCTGTTTAAAATGGTTTCAGAACTTACACTGTTAGAGAGCTTTTAAAATGTTACAGTACACCTCAGGAACATAAAGAAGTACCAAATCAGATTAAATGAACCGTTCTGTTAGGCAAGTATCTTGTCTTTGACAGAGGCCTGTACCAGACACTTCATTAGAAATTTACATGGACACCTGAACCCATCAGATGGTGGTTGATTTACATCCTAAATCAAGGATATCAAACTCAACCCACTCCATCCTCTTCCCTTAAAAGTCTATAACAACCATCATTTTTTTTCAGGGTTCCTGCATTACACACTATGATTTAAATAATTTGTTTAAATCTTTATAAAATGTACTCCTCTCAACATTTTCTTCACCTGCTCAATTCCCATCTTTCTTGTTATCTATCATAATATATCCTTTTTGGTCACATTCACTTGTTTTGTGTATATACAGATAACTTTTTGGCTCAAATACAGTTTGAAATCAGAGACTATTAAAGGTAATTCTCATCTTAAGACCACTTCAATGGCTTGTGAGACATGTTCCATAAACTTATATACATTGCTATTTAACTATTTTGGCTGGGGGGGGGGGGGAAGAGAAGGAAAGTAAATTATAAAAAGACAGCTACCCTAGAAGTATTATTACACCAACGTAACCTACAAAAGGTCTCTTTTGTAGTCATATCACTTAGGGACTGATATAATGTCCACTGAGGGCAACTGGAATTTCACTAGAAAATTCAGTGAGTACTGGTTCATCTTAAGTTCCATGTCTATTCTTCAAAATATCATCAATCCTTTAGAAATACAATTCTTTTGATGATAACAGTAGGCCATCTCTTTTAAAATGTTAATGTTATTTTACCTATTATTGGGAGTTTGTCTTGATCCAGCTTTATTCTTGCAAAGCCATCCTAGAATACAATACAATTTTTTTGACAATTACAGAAACTGGATTTATTCAGTTGATTTAACACACTGAAATAGAAAATGACCATTACAAATCAGATTTCTTCATATAGACTTATGCAATACAGTCCCAGTGGAGTTGTACATGCACTAGAACACTGATTTTTTTGCAAGGTTAGTTTCCTTAGCCCCCCATACAGGGGACAGTTTGCAGACTAATTAGGGGTTTATTACCACAGCAAAAAGCTGTGCAGGACCACTAAGGTGCTCCAGCTGTTTGCTACAGCTTTTACTTCAAAGAGCTCTGCTTCTCTGAGCAGATGTGAAGGATTCCTAATGAGCTCCAGCTGAGTGGAGAAGTAGTGCCCTGTGAAATAACAGCTGCAGGAAAAACAGCTGAGTGGATTGTCCATAATACAGAAACCTGCTAAGAATGAAAGAGAATATGAAGTCTGGATTCAACTATATATCCTTGTATCCAGAACCTTACTGACAATTTCAACAGCAGGCTCCCACATTGTGTGGCAAGGTCAGCAAAGGAAATATTACATCAGATTGGTCCCAAGG